GTGTGTGTGTGTGTGTGTGTGTGTGTGTGTGTGTGTCTGTGTTTGTAAGTCACTCACTCTAGGATTTTGGTTGAGGGATGAGGTGTACTGTAGACTCTTTAGCCAGCATAAGGATTAAGGGAAAAGAGTGTGTCTGAGAGAAGAGCAGGAAGAAGTTAGTTAAGATTGAGTCCGAGGTGCCTGTGCGAGACCCTGCTAGAGGTATGCGGGGGCAGCAAGACAGGACGCTGAAGCCCCAGGAAAAAGCCAGGGCCAGAGACCGGGACTTGAGAATCTTACACATTACAGTAGTAATATAGGGGAAGAGTAGAAAGTTGCTCGGAGTGAAATGAGCAGTAGAGATTTAAGATTAGGTTGAAAGGAGTTTAAGAGACCAAGAAGGAATGGCTAGGAGAAAAAAAGACGAAGTGGAGTTCCCAAAAAGAGGGATTGGCCAAAACTTTCGAATGCAGCAAAGATGAAGTAAGATAAAGACTGACAGACAGTGCTGGCAACAGAAGCTCCTGGGCCCAGATTCAGTGGAGGTGGGACAGCGATGTCCTGGTACAGCTGAAATTAAATGGGGCTCATCTAGGCAGGATTCACCTTCAGTGCTCACCCCACCCCTGACCATTCTTCTTTAACTTTTCCTGTGCTTGTAATATTCACCTCCCAGAATTTCTAATTTACCTAATTTTACTTAGAAACAAGAAAAGGTCTGATATCACCTCTTTGCACTTTAGTACAAACTGGTCCATCTTCTCTATCTCAATTATTTGTACTTCAAACTTACCCTTAATTAGAAGAAAATTTAAGTATAAAAGCAGATTGTGCTCACCTCTTTCTGAGGATAGCCCGTTTTAATCATCTTAAGATATTCTGTCATGGTGATGGGGTGATCAAGGGGATACTGATAGTTCTGTCCCCTTCGAAGGGGTCTTTGCTCCCTTGAAGGGCCTTCAACTCAAGCTGCTGGAGGCCAATTTCCAGGAATTGTTTCTTAAAGATCTGAAGCCTACCCAGCAGACCAGTTTCCTTCCTCCAGCCTTCTCTGGCTAAGCTTAACTCCGACCTTCCTTGAGCCCTCCCATCTTACTTCTGCTCAAAGAACTGCCCACTGAAGGCCCAGAATGCAGACCTCTCTTCCAGTGCCCCTCATCCTCCCTTTGCCACTCCTTTGCTTAGTCTGACTTGTCCACATTTGATGATCCTATTTCTGTCCCCAGAACGGTCATCACAGCTGTGGCTCTCAAATTGTAGTGTACAGGCTCAGCTTGTTAAAAATACTAGTCAACTTGCCACCAAAAGTCACCGATGTACCATATCTGCATCGGGCCTAGGAATCTACATCTTAAACCAGCCTCTCAGGGATTTCTATCTGACGTTGCTGGTCAGTAGACCACACTCTAAGAAATAAGATGAGAGAAAGCCATATGAATATAAAGTATAATTGTAATCACCACAGTCTAGCAACTCAGCCACTTTGGGCCTTGATAAAGGACACTGGTCCTCAGGAAAAGAAAAGCTGAACATCTTCCTCAGGAAACTTTCAGAAGAGGTGGGAGGGAAACTGGTTTCTGAGGCGAGTATAGGTATGTGGTAGGGTGTAGGGATTTAAGATATCTTTTTTGAAGACTCTAGATATTTAATACATGAGTGTCGAAGACAGAAATCAATATGCTTGATATACTATGCAGCAAACAAAAAAGAAAAATTATAAAGATGTGGTTTGGCCACAGGACAGGAACAATGACAACATTAGGACTTTGACAATTTATGTATGTCCCTTGCAGAATAGGAATATAAACTGTTTTCTAGTTCATTACTCCAATAGCACACATCTATTTACTTAAAAAACCATAATGACAACTAGAAATCATACTTATCTATAATAGATAACACATGAAAATCATGCCCTTTACCAAATAGGAAAAAAAAAAACCCACATACTTCAAGACATAAGAAGTCACTATAAAGCAGTCCAATACTGTATAAAAGCATTACATACAGGGTTCTTTTGAGGCAGTATATTTTGAGACAATAAAAACCCAAAGGAAAGACAAGTTCTTTAACTAGACTTACTTCAGTGCTAAGGGCTAAAAGATAATCAGAATTCTGAGGGCTGTACATCATCTGAGTCAGAGGATGAAAAGGGAGATTGGTCTGAACAAAGTTCTTTGCGAAATCTGATGATCTGAAGATTCTTCCTCCATGACTTCCTCCAGACACCTCTGCTGTTAAAATCACCTGAGTAGGAAGAATAAAGTTCAGATTCAGGGTATAACATTATAAAAGCACAGGAAGTTCTTACATCATTTTCACCAGACATTAGTTAAGAAAATTTTAATACCGAAAGTAAGAAAAGTTATAAAAACAGATTTGTTGGTATACCCCACCCACGTATTAGTCTTATCAAAAAATATTATCCTGAATTGAGCTAATGGATCATACCTAAGAATTTGAGCCTGGTCAGTTTGAGATTAGCCAGTTTCCCAAAGACTAAAATGTTGTCTCGAGGGTTAAACATTGTAATGCCAAACAACTGCCACGTGAAGTGTTGTTGGTGCACCTTAGGGGCCAGAAAAGAAACTGTGTGCCGAATTCCATTCTTTTGTGATCTGTATTAAATTATGTTTAATTTTAAAATATAGTAATAGTAAACTAAATATATTGCTGTGTAACACTGGATCATCCCAATATTAATATCTGACAGCCCACATGTGGCTCCATACATGCATGAATGAGCCTCACCTTTCCAGAGTTCTCAGGACCAATAGCCATGCCAAATTCAGTCCGAATGAAGGTATTATTGATGAGATTTGTAATATCCTTAAAGTTCTTTCCATAGTCCTCACTGAGGGGAAGAAAAACAAAGACAAATTTAGAATGCAGTGGTCGCAGACACTGTTGTGTTCCTACCCAGCTTCCATTCCCTTTCACTGACTTTACTAA